GAGCTAGGCCCCTGGTGCCCCCACCTTCCCCCCGCGCGGGGCTGGGCTGGGCTAGGCTCGCCGGCGGGGGCCGTGCCAGTGATGCAAGCAGCACCGGGGCCAGCGGACCACTAGGCAGCCCGCCGAGCAGCGACGAGCACCGCGGGCAGGCGCACCGCGCACCGCGCAGCGCACCGCCGAGCTAGCTCACCGACCCGCCGGCTCACCATGGACTCGTCCATGTCGGTGGACTACGGCACCGCGCTCTACGTGGAGGACGACAAGGACGGCAAGAAGGACGACGTGGACGCGATGGACACGTCGACGCGGGGAGGCGGCCAGGACGTGGACATCTGGACGGGCACGAGCACGGCGGGGCTCGACGAGGCGAGCATGCTGCAGCACCCGGGCGTCAACGGCGTCCCGTCCTACTACCCGGTGTACGGCAACGGCGGCGTCAACGGCCTCAGCAACTTCAACGGCCTCAACGGGGGCGTGCCGCGCCGCGGCGGCGGCCCCGCCCAGCCCGCGCACCTCCCGGGCTACCAGGTGGCGGCGCAGGGCGCCAGCCTCGGCGCCAGCCAGCCCTCGGGGCCCACGGCGAACTGGGCGCCGCCGACGTACCACATCCCCAAGTGGATCAACGGCGGTGCCCCGCCCGGGTGCACCCCGCCGGGCCGGGCCGGCCAGCCGCCCTGGACGCACCAGCAGCTGACGGCGCACCTGCAGCAGCAGTACCCGGGGCTACGCGGGCCCATCCCGCCCTCCATGCTGGCGCGGTGGAACCCGGGCGGCGTCACGGCCGCCAACCAGAGCAGCGGCGGCGGCGGCGGCCGCGACGGCGGCAACGTCACCCTGGCCAGTCTCGTCGGCATGCCGCCCGGCCTCCAGGGCCACGGCAGCCACCAGGGCGGCCACCAAGGCCTGCAGCAGCAGACCCAGCACCACCAGCCCGGCCTCGGTGGCCACGGCGGCGTCCTGGGCGGCGGCCAGCGCAAGGCCAGTCCCACCTTCGGGCCGCAGCCCGGCCGGGTCCTGACGCCCACCAAGCAGTTCCGACGCAGCGCCTCGTACCCGGGCAAGCCCTACGGACAGACGCCCTCCTTCGAGATCACCGGCGCCGACGAGAACCACATGCTGAACCCCTTCTCCATCAGCGCGCAGCAGGTGAGTGCCAGCCCGTCACGTTGTTCTTTACCTCGGTGTTCAGTGGCGCAGCGCAGCCTACAATAACACGAATCGACGTGTGCCTCGCCCGCCCC